GACAGAATCATTAGAATCGTTTACTAACTTAATGAATATTCTAGAGTCTTTTGGCCATTGTGCGGGATATAAACTCAACATTCAAAAGATCCAAGTACTAACATTCAACTTTAAACCAACTAAACATTTACAAGAAAAAATTAGAATGAAATGGGACCAAACCATGATAAAGTACTTGGGAATTAATTTTCCCAAACAGATAACATTAGTGAAAACATTGAACTATGATTTGCTTCTGGTACAAATCAAGACAGATATTCAGAGTTGGAATTGTAACCCACTACGTAACCTCATTCAAAAAATAGAAACAGTAAAAATGAGTATGTTACCGAGATTTCTCTTCCTGTTTCAAAGCCTTCCAATTGAAATGAACCAAAAACAATTTATTGAATGGGATCGGGTAATATCAAGGTTCCTATGGTAAGGTAAAAAATCACGAGTGAGATATAAAACCCTACAACTCCCAAAGGACAGAGAAGGCATGAACCTACCAAACTTAAAGGACTACTTTTATTCAGCTCAGATAAAACCACTTCTGAATATATGCAATAAGGATTACAACTCAAGATGGAAGGAAACAAAAATCTCACTAACAAAAAAATAAACCAATTCAGGCATTCCTAGCAAACCAGGACTTGATAAAGGCTATGGACAATGTGCAGAACCCCTGGATAACAGGCCAGATGAAAATTTGGAGGGCCATTAGAGAGGAATATAATTTACAGGAAAATTTTAAAGTGCTGCGTTGGTGTGCGTATGACCCTGACTTTGGTCCTAGCCAATCAGATCTGAGGTTCTTGAATTGTAAAACTCAAGGAATTACCACCCTATACTCTATAACCGAAAACAATCAAACAATGGACTTCCAGACCCTAAAAAACAAGTATTCACTTGAAAAGCAAGATTTTTTTTAGATATCTACAAGTACGCCATTACTATGAAAAGACACTTAACCATGTCATAGACCTGGAAGAACCCATATTAAAATAATTCATTGCTGCATATAAATAAGACAAAAAAACAAAAAACAAAAAGAGGAAATATCTCCAGACTGTATGAGGGCCTTTTAGCTAAAAAATCAAATTCAACAGAATATATAAAAAACAAATGGGAAGGAGAAAGTGGAGCTATTATCTCAAAGGAAGAATGGCAAAATACTGTAGATCTATTTGGAAATGCACCAAATCACTCACGTGGAAAGAATTCTCATGAAAGTGCTTCACTAGATAATTTATCGCTCCAAAACAGAAATCCTTTTCTGGGATAGAACCTAAATGCTGGAGGCAGTGTGGGTGCCAGGATGCTAGTCATTATCATATTTTCTGGGACTGCCCACCAATTAAGCATTTTTAGTCGGACCTCCACAAAAAGTTGGAGAAAATACTTAAAATGAACATACCTTTCACCTTTGAAACAATATTCTTTGGAAAAGTGGACAACTCTCTAGGGTTCTCTAGCAAATATCTATTTAACATTTTTATTTTAGCTGGCAAAAAGACCATAACCAGACACTGGCTACACCACGACTCCCCAACAGTTGAGGAATGGGAAAACCGTGAACAACATTTATACAATGCATGAGATAACTTACCTTCTCCCTTAGATTGCAAACAGAGAAGTTTAATAGGATCTGGGCTAATTGGAAGTAATAATATTTATTATAAGGTAATGTACAAGTAATCTCCGGACTGGTTTCGGTGCTGATTGATGATGGACATGAATGCGCACCCCTCACCTATAGTTCACAAAGTAAAAAAAAAATATATATATATATAAAAAAAATGATATGTCAAAAGGAAAATGGGTTATGTAACAAAAAAATTTATCCTACAAAGAAATATTTTTGGAGATTGCAAAACATGTAAATATTATTGTAAAATAATGATGTACCTTTCATAAATAAAGAGTTAAAAAATAAAAAATGTCCACTAAACCAATCAGCCAGGACAATACGACCACTGACAGCTCTGCTTGTCTGATAAAATGTTCTGATTCAAACAAGCGTGACGATGCTGATGTCGACACTTCTCACTCACCTGGACATTTGTGCAGAATCAGTAATAGCTGTCCTCAGCAAGGACACCAGTGAGTCTAACAGAAATACCACTGGAACCAGTCAAAGAGCACAAACACATCTCATCTGGAGTTTACTAATGCTGCTGAGAAGCTTTCACCGGTGACTTTCTGGTCAGGTGAGATGGCTCCATTAGTCGATTAGTCAATCAGACCTCTAATATCCTCCAAATAAAGCATCTCTGGTTCAAAAACGGCACGGCTGATGTTTAAAAATCTAAATGGGCGGGGCTGGGTGCAGAGGGAGGGGGTTGCTCACAGTGCCGCTCGTCAGCGCAAGCCACAGAAACTCAAAGGTCTGTTACCATTCATCTCTAGATGTTTGCTGGTATTTTCTCTACACGATCAAATGTTTTGGTGAGACAGGAGGTGTGGTCGTAATGTTTTGGTTGATTGGTGATGAGTTTACTGACCAAAAGGCTTCACTTTCAGTGTGATATACAGTATATAGGACTTTCCCATGGCCAAAAAGTCAAACAGGTTGTTGTACCTCACCATAAAGCACATATTTACACAAAAATACATATAAAACACATGTAAATAAATCAAGTCCTATCACAGAATCAAAACCATCAACAATCGAGTAAGGAACCCACAATCAGCACAAGTTAAGAGAGAAAAACTCAAAAAGGCACCGTTCATTGTGACTGATGGCCAAGGAGCAGACGAGTGTTTAGACGACTCCTAAGGGGATACTTTGGAAAAATGAAGCTGACATTCCTGATGCTGCAGTCTGCTTCCAGCACATTTTCTGCATGTTTTACATCAGGTACGCAGCTGATTTGTTTAATTTACTGATGAACCGCTCCTGTAGACACTAAGGAAGGCTGGGGAGACATTTCAGCTGTTAGAAAAAGGTGTGAAAAAGACGAACGCACAGCGAGGAGATACGTTTTGCTTTAGGTTCTATAAATGGACACTAGGGGATGGTGAAAGCAAGCCCAAACTGCCTAGTTCCCCATTAAATCTGCTGAGCAAAGAAGCCTGTTTCATGTCTGCTGGTAGGTCATTCAAGAGCCCCGGTGCCAGGACCGAGAAGATACGAATCCCTCATGACTTCAGCCTATACTCTAGGCACTACCAGCAGGCCCTGTTCAGCTAACCTGGGGTGTACGGGTGGATAAGACCTGCCAGGGAACAGGGAGCCACACACCTGAAAACGATGAGGTGGATTTTAAAAGTAACATGATAAGGGACCAGAAGCCAGTGCAAGGCTGCCAGGACCGGCGTTGTGTGCTCTTACCAGTCAGTCACGTGGCTGGACAACCTGGAATAAAGCAAATTGCAGTAGTCCAACCTGGAGGTGATGATGGCGTGAATCACCATTACTAGATGCGTGTGTGTGAGAGAAACGGCTTAATCCTATCTATTCACCTGAGATGGAGAAAACAAGATCTCACAGTCCCGTTCATCTGGCTGTCCAGTCTGAGCTCCAAAAACAGCTTCACCCCCAGACCGGATCCCTTCCTTCTCATATATAGGGTGCTAGAGGAGAAATCATCCCTGTTGACACCTCCCTGCCTATTTCAGACTAAACAGAACAGCCTCAGTCTGTTTTTGGTCCAACAGCTTGTGCATAAAACACATGAAAACTGTCCAAATGCTGCTTGAATCAAAACAATTGTTGAGTTTTGACACCTTAAATAGATCAAAGGAACTTGGTCAAACAAACGAGTCTCTGCTCACACGTGGTGGTCTCTTTTACACGTAAACTTCTCTCTTTCTTGTGACAGAACCAAGCTTTATCCCGCTCCTCCACCTGTTTAGACACTTAGGCAGTATTCTTATTTCATCTGTAACTAACAATCCTGGTGCTCAGGGTTGTTGTTTTTGCTGCTAACTCACCTTTCTAGATGAAACAAGCTGTAGACCCTGACGTTACCAAATGGATGATGTGTAATTCACCCTTATTTATTTGGACCAACATTGCATCAACACAGTGTAAATAAAACATGCATCTAGAAAACTTTTCTCCAACATCCCTCTGACTTTTCTGAGCAATCGCCAGCAAACAGTGAAAGCAGCAAAGTTCTTCTGTTTGTGTTTCTACTCAAAGAGGACCTGCAGCATTCCTGGTTTTAAACATTCAAGCACCGTTGAGTATTAAATAAACATAAACCTGTAACGCAACCTAAAGGATTATGACCTGGTTTTGGTTGGGATTGATCCGACTTTTCAGGAAAAACGTTTTGAACAGAGACACACGAGAGCTCTGGTGATGCTTTGTGAGTTTGAGAACTACATGCATGATGGATGTGGAGCCTCTGTAGGAGATTCCTGCGTACGTTTATAAATTCATGCTTTAGGTGATGCAGAGTGCAGCATGAGACCCAGATTTAATCTGACACCGCGTGGAAGACAAACGTATGAGAAGATAAATGCTCGTCTGATTGTTTCATGCTGGAGGAGAGCAGAAGTGTGAAGCTTCCTCCTCCTCACCATCTCTCTAGTGTGCTGCTCAGTCAGGTTTCAGATTAAGCTGATCTAGTTAAGATTCCCACTGTGGCATGTGGAACTCCTGTCAAGACTGCCTGAGCGCTACGAGTCCAGCATGCAGCCGGATGGCTGACACTCGCTACCACGTCTCATTCTCACTTGAGACTCCCAAGAGTCAATAATTCATCTCTCTCTCTCTCTCTCCAGCACCAGGGAAAGTCAGTCTGTCTTCCCACGCTCACTTCATCATTTTTCTCTCATTCCAGAATTTTTTTGCTACTGTTGTTCTCTGTCTCCTCTCACCAACACACACACACACACACACACGCACGCATGCACGCACGCACGCATGCGCACACACACACACACACACACACACACACACACACACACACACACACACACACACACACTCACACACACACCCTTACTATATTGCACCACCTCAATAATTCAAAGTCATATATGAAAGTCAATGAAAGTTGCCATACCTCGGGTCATTACGATGCCTGCTAGGGATTTGTGTCGAGCGTGGGCCAGACTGCAGCTGCCCACCAGCAACCGGTACTTCTCCTTCACCAGCTGGAATACCGAATCGGCAAAGTCCTGGAAAACAGAACCACTTCCTTATTTACTACTGAACACTGTGGACCCTGCTGGGTAACCTTCCACCTCCTGGATTTGTTCAGGTGAAATGAGACTTACGGGCACCAGATTAGCTTTTCTCTAAACATCACCTTGTCTAGGTGAGACTCGGTGTTTTCTAAATGAAATTAGTGATCCCAACTCTAAACATAAACAATACATATATGTGCTTGGGTTTAAAGACCACACTCACTCGTTTTTTTCAACACATCAGAAGTGGTTTCTAATATAAATGAATGCCTTGTGAGTCGATCTTTGTGGATAAAAGCTCTGACGCTCCTGTTTCAGGTACTAGAAGTAACCTAGTTCCTAAAACAGGAGTGCCCATCCTAACCCCACAGTACTGCAGGATTTGGAGTCTTATTTCCTGATACTTAGACATCTTGCCTTTGATTGGCTAACAGCAACACATGGCTGCCAACTTATAAGAAGTTTTGTAGTGAGATTTTCTTTATTTTAATTTCTATTTGTGTGTGTGTGTGTGTGTGTGTGTGTGTGTGTGTGTGTGTGTGTGTGTGTGTGTGTGTCAAGGATGCTGTAATCACAGATTGCTGTGAGAAAACCCACAACGTTAATTAATTATGAGCAAATTAAATTGAAATTGATAAAATGTGGCAAAAAACATTTATTTTCACTGCAGAACAGATTCGTCACAATATGTCTTTTAAATGAGTAAACTTATAGCATAGCAAAGCCCATCTAGAGAGGCAGCAGTATCTCAGAAGGTAGAGCGGGTTGTCCAATAATTGGTTCAATCCCGGCCCCTGCCAGAGAATGCCGCTGTTGTGTCCTTGGGCAAGACACCAAACCCACCTTGTGTGATGGTGGTGGTCAGAGGGACCGGTGGCACCAGTGTTTGCCCCAGGGCAGCTGTAGCTACATCGTAGCTCATCATCACCAGCGTGTGAATGTGTGTGAGAGTGGGTGGATGACTGTTTATGTTGTGAAGCGCCTCGGGAGGCTAGAGCACACCAGAGACAGACGTGCCACGCCGCGTCGTGCCGTCATTTTAAATAGAAGCCATTATAGTTAATGAGAGTGGCTACATGGGGAGCACCGTGCCGTGTCCCTGAAGCATTGTGCCGCTGAAGCTGGGTTCCAGTTCTATTCAAAGAACTGTTTTTAACATTTCGTAGTACTTTACAACAGACATTGCAACGCAGAGCGGCTTTACGCCACAAACCCAACTGCAGCATTGATAACTTTAAAGTACTATTGGCCTTAAAATATTCCAATAAATAGACTACTTACCTATTTTTAACACTAGAAGTCCCAAGAATTTCAACATCCCCCCTGAAGTCCTGAAGCAGGGTCAAAAGACCCTTAGTCCACACGGATGACTCTGATAGCTCCAATTAGCATCCCTTCATTTGTAAATGTGGCCCTTGCCAGAGGAATCAGCAGGGGGGAGGAGAGATGAATTCACACAAAAGTCACATGATGTTGTGCCGCATTATCCAGGTCATTTTGCCAAATGTGAGGGGACTAGAAACATGAGACATGAAAACATGAGAGAAGTTTTCACTGTTTTGGTAGAGATATGGCATTTTGCTGCTGTTCCATGGTGCTTCGCTAAACCATATGGAGGATTTTGCCAAATACACCTTGAATTTTGAGAATGTCATCTCAGTTTCGAGAAATGAGCCAAACTAATTGAAAAAGAAAAACCTGTAAATCAACTTAAACTTGTTCAAAAGTTGGGGATAAGTTGGTTCAAAATGACTGAGTGTAAGCTGCTCCTGAGAGTGTCTGCCCATCCCCCAGCTGCATTTTTTGCAGGGCCATCCTGAGCAACAGCTACAGAAATTTGCATGCAGTCTTTAGTGCTGTGGAGGATAAATAGGTGACTGCTTCACCTATTTTGTTGACAAGAAACAAAATGCAAAGGAGGCTAACCACTCAACAGGCATTGGAACTGATCGTGAGCAAGGCCAACCCTTGTGACTCAGATGGAGAAGACAACCAGATTCGGACTCTGAGCTGTCTTCAGGTTAGATTTCTCAATCTACCTATTTTCATTTCCTGCCTATCTCTTTTTATTTAGAACCAAACAAAAAGTTAATTTAAAATTGTTTATCTTGCAGATGAGGAGACGACTCTATCAAAAAAGAGAGCTCGGTTTGGAGTGAGCTGACAGAGACCTCAAAATATGGCACAGTGTGGTGTAAAAAACAAGTGGGGACATGTCTCCATATTACTCCAATAGAACCTTACGCCACAGCAGGAGAGCCAATAGCTGAGGCCATTGTGGATGTGATGGACCAAATGGTGCGGGAGTACAGCGTGCGTGCAGGAACACAGAGATGGCCAGTCGCCGTGTTCTACAACATGATTGACATGGCAGCACTGAATGCACATGCGCTTTATCAGGCATGCATTGAGGTGCAGGAGAGACGGGTGAACTTCCTGGTTGAGCTTGCAAATGAGTTGGGTGACGGTCATGTGAGTGAGAAGAAGGCACGCAAGGAGAAACTGCTTCAGCTAAAACCTTCCACACCCAGCCCTGGCAAAAGGGCAAAGTGTCAGGTCAACCATCGTTGCACAAACAATTGTGCAACTTTGAGATGTGTTGACTGCTACAAATATGCATGTGGCAAATGTACCAGAGTCATACCCTGGCAGTGCCAGGGTATGTTCCGACAGTGCAGACTGATGCACTCACTCACTCACTCAAACGCATGCACGCACGCACGCACGCACACACACACACACACACACACACACACACACACACACACACACACACACATGCAGCACCCCACTGCAGCTTAGTGTAAATATGTGTGAAATTGATTTATTCCTTGTACTTTTTGGATCATTTTTATGACAAAAATAAAAAGCATGGAAACTAATAACAGTTGTTCTTTTGTATATTTCTCATGCTGAAATTTAAGTCCTCTTGACTTGGGCACAAACGCTTCTAGTCTTTGCTCACAGCTGGACCTGGAAAACCTTATTTACAAAACAAAAGTGGCAGTTCACAACTCATTATACAGTGTTAGCTAAAATCCTTCGGGTCACTCGACCCATCTCTGGGTTCCAAAGGTAGAAATGTTAAATGACCCTTCTCTGGGACTTCTAGTGTTAATGAGTTAGAGTCTCTCAAAACACAACAGCAAGTCCGATCATGTAAAAACAAAAGAGGGAAGTTGTGACTATCGCACGACTTTCACGGAAGCTTTCAGAGAGGCATCGAGTCCTGTATGACCACATGACAGAGGTGTGACCAAGTCACTGCTTTGGAAGTCACAAGTATTTTCAGTCAAGTCTCGAGTCAAGTCCAAGTCAAAGACAACCAAGTCCAAGTCAAGTCCAAAGTCAATGATGTGGAAGTCCGTATCAAGTCCAAGTCATTAACTCTGAAATTTCAAGTCATGATCATGTCATCAGTCAAACTTCAATTTAAGGACAATGATAATAAATAAATTCCAGGAATAAAGCTTCTTAAAGCTTCATTTATTTGCTCAAACAAGCAGAAAGTGCAACTGATTATAAACAAAGAGCTGCTGCAGTTAGCGGTACCAGATCACACCCAGAACGAAGAATGATTCATGATTTGTATCCATGTCGTGCCACTTTTGTGCTAAAATATAAAATATACTCAAGTTATCATCAAGTCAACAGATGCAAGTCGATTCAAGTCGCAAGTCATTGGTGTTCAAGTCCGAGTCAAGTCATAAGTCTTTATAGATTTTATCAAGTCAAGTCAGGAGTTATTAAAATAATGACTCAAGTCCAAGTCATGTGACTCGAGTCCACACCTCTACCACTTGACTACTCAAAACAGCGGCGCATCTGTCTCCGGGGTGCCCCAGGCTTAAGAAGGTGCTTTACAAATCAGGTGACCAATTCTCATAGAAACTATAATTAGCTAATATTACAATCAGGTTAAATACTGTTCGTATTTCTGTTGGACTGCTCATAACATACAGGTTACTACAGCTTTATTGTGAATAATAGTGATATGGAAATGTGTTTCTTCTACCTTCATTTGTTAGTTTAATAGTCTGGAGGTTTCTTCCTGTTAAAAGGGAGTTTGCCTCTCCACTGTCGCTACATGCTTGCTTATTCCGCTCAGTCTGCCGCTGTCGTCGAGTCTTTGGGCAAGACACTTAACCCACCTCGACTGCTGGTGGTGGTCGGAGGGACCGGTGGCGCCTGTGCTTGGCAGCCTCGCCTCTGTCAGTGCGCCCCAGGGCAGCTGTGGCTACATCGTAGCTCATCATCACCAGCGTGGGAATGTGTGTGTGAACGGGTGCATGACTGATTGTGTTGTAAAGCACCTTGGGGGGTTCCAGGACTCTAGAAGGTGCTATATCAAATACAGGCCATTTACCATTTGCTGCGAGGCAACAGTGCTACCAACTGCACCACCATGCAGCCCACAGTTTATTTTGTGAAGCGCCTTGAAACGACTCTTATCGTGATTTGGCGCTTTATAAACAGACTGATTTGTATTGAATAGTTTACTTGTCTCCAATTAAGAGTAAAATCCCAGATTCTGGCTAATACCCTGATGTTGGTTTTTAACATATTGAAACTGAAATTGAAAGGAATGTCTTTTCTAACGTTTTAGGGTCCTTCCTAAATGGACTGGCGTTGATCCTCGGCTCTCCTAACTGAAGCCAGGTTCTCACTGGGCTGCAGCTGGTACCCACTAGTGAGGAAATGAGCTAATTCATTCATTATCACAGAAAAGCAGAGACTTAAATTATGATGCAACATCTTAGTCTCCAAAGAAAAACATAACAGTCTGGTGCTATCTCAATTTAAACCTAAAAATCTGCAATGATCATTTTTCTCCACATGCATCAGCGCTGAGAGGCTGCTGTTGTATGATGATACGAGATTAAACATCTCTGAAACATTCATTAGGATCCATTCAAAGGCAGAAGGGGGGTGGCGGGTACCTAGAGGAGAAACACGGACCGACATAAAGCCTGCTGTGTGTGTCTGGGTTT